TGGAGCCGTTGGGGGTGCGGGCGCTGAGGGTTCTGAGTCTGCTGTTGCGCGGTCTCCTTGGAGTAGCCGCCTTCGTCCACGTGTGCCTCTCACCCCACAGCAGCTGCAGGACTGGTACGGTCGCCGTCAGCGTCGCTTTGCTGGAGCTAGGAGTGGTGCTGGTCCTTTGTCTACTGGAGGTGCTGGAGTCGCTGGTTCTGGAGGTGCTCGTGCTAGAGACACTGAGGCTGGAGACCCTGGAACTGGAGGTGCTGGTTCTGGGGGTGCTGCTGCTGGAGACACAGAGGTTGGAGACCCTGGGACTGGGGGTGTCGGCTCTGGGACTGGAGCTTCTGGAGAGGCTGGAGGTACGGGAGCTGTTGGAGGTACTGGAGCTGCTGGAGGCACTGGAGCTGCTGGAGCTGCCGGTACTGGTGCAGCTGCGCCGACACGACTGTTCTTCGCTCCGCCGTCTCCGTCGTCTCTGCCGCCGCCTGACTCTGCTCTTCGTCAGGTTGTTACTCTCCCGTCGTCTACTGGTCTTCCGTTACAGACTGGCTCACCGCTACCTGCTCCCTCTCCTTACACTGAGCAGACAGGCAGTCCTGCTACGCGTCGTGAGCCTGCGTCGCGTCCTGTCTCGCCCGTTCGTTCTGGTCGTACCGTTCGTCGTGTCGCTCGTGCGCGTCAGCCGGCTGTCCCCAGCGCACACCTTGTTGTCCGTCGTCCTTCCTCTGCTCCGCAGCCTGTTCCTCTGCCGTCTCCCCCTGCGTCCTCTCTGCCTGCCGTTCCGGACCTTGAGTCTGACCGGTTTCGTGCTGAGCACCCTACTGTCACGCGTCTCCTAGCCACTGTTGTCACTGACCCGTCGTTTGAGTCTACTGCTGCGTCTGCCTTGGTCGCTGAGCTTGTTGACTTTGCTGCTGCCTGTCGTCTAGACTACGCTGCTAGTCTTGTTGCTGAGTCTGAGTCTGTCTGTCCTCCGTCCGTCGGGGGTGAGTGTGCTCTTAGCACGGACGTCCTTGAGGACAGGCAGGAGGAGTTCCAGTGTCTTGCTGCTGCTTTACCTCATCTTGTGTCCTCGCTACTTGCCCCTGAGGGAGACCCGGATGCACCAGACATCCCGACTCCGCGCTCTTACGCAGAGGCGATAGAGGGTCCCTACTCCTCTTAGTGGCAGGCAGCCATGGACGCAGAGATGGCTTCCTGGAAGTCCACAGGCACCTACGTTGACGAGGTTCCCCCACCTGGGGCAAACATCGTCAGTGGCATGTGGATTTTCAGGGTGAAGCGGCCGCCGGGTTCTCCGCCTGTCTTCAAGGCGCGTTACGTGGCTCGAGGCTTCAGTCAGCGAGAGGGAGTTGACTTCTTCCAGACCTTCTCCCCCACCCCGAAGATGACCACTCTTCGGGTGCTGCTGCACGTTGCTGCTCACCGTGACTACGAGCTTCACTCTCTTGACTTCAGCACAGCTTTCTTGCAGGGTAGCCTGCACGAGGAGATCTGGCTGCGCCGCCCCCCGGGCTTCACTGGGTCGTTCCCTCCTGGTACCCAGTGGAGCCTCCGGCGGCTGGTCTACGGTCTCCGCCAGGCGCCACGTGAGTGGCACGACACACTGAGGACTACGCTTGCGGCTCTTGGGTTTGCGCCTTCTACTGCTGACCCGTCGCTGTTTCTGCGCACAGACACTTCGCTGCCACCGTTCTACATCCTCGTGTACGTCGACGACTTGGTTTTGCCACTGCTGACACTGAGGCTCTCGCCCACGTGAAGTCGGAGCTGCAGAAGAGACACACGTGCACAGACTTGGGTGAGCTGCGCAGCTACCTTGGCTTGCAGATCACCCGAGACAGAGCACGTCGCACCATCACCTTGACTCAGTCACACATGGTGCAGCAGGTCCTTCAGCGCTTCGGCTTCACCTGGTCTTCAGCACAGGCCACTCCTCTGGCTACAGGTCACACGCTCTCAGCTCCACCTTCGGACGAGTCCGTAGAGCCGAGTGGTCCTTACCCAGAGCTAGTGGGCTGCCTCATGTACCTGATGACTTGCACTCGACCTGACCTCGCGTACCCTCTTGGTCTTCTGGCTCGCTACGTGGCTCCTGGTCGGCACCGACCTGAGCACATGGCTGCTGCTAAGAGGGTACTGCGCTACTTGTGCAGCACATCAGGCATGGGGCTAGTGCTTGGAGGGACGAGCCCAGTTGTCCTCACTGGACACTCAGACGCTTCTTGGGTTGACGACCAGGCTACTCAGCGGTCGTCACAGGGTTACACCTTCAGCCTTGGCTCTGGTTCAGTTTCGTGGCGTTCTACACGTTCGTCTTCAGTTCTCAGCTCCAGTTGTGAGGCTGAGATCTACGCCACAGCCATGGCTGCACAGGAGTTACGCTGGCTCACCTACCTGCTGACTGACTTGGGAGAGCAGCCTCGTTCTCCTCCAGTGCTGTACGTCGACAACAAGGCCGCCATTGCCTTGTGTGAGGAGCACAGACTGGAGCACAGAACGAAGCACATTGCTCTGCGTTACTTCCTGGCTCGAGAGTTGCAGCAGCGAGGCCAGCTTCGTCTTCGCCACGTGGCCACTCGGGCCAACACTGCTGATATATTCACCAAGGCACTTCCGTCTGGTGATCATCAGCGCTTTTGTACTCTGTTGGGCCTTGTGCCTACGTTTCCACACTTGCTGTAGTCTCTGCATGTGAACTGGCCCTGTGGCCTTTTGCTTGTGCTCAGAATGCGTGGTGACGTTGTGATCCACCCTGAGCTTGTTTTGCTTCTCTTGACTGGTCGTGTGACCCCTTGTTCTTCCCCACTTTGCCTATGGGGGTGTGTCAAACTATATGTGCTGCATATTGTTTAGGCTGTAGTGGGGTAGCCCATATGGGGTACAACCCAATTAGGGTTTACTACTTGTACTCCTGCATCCTGTTAGTTCATCCATTCCTGCTGCTAGATTCTGACAGCAGTAACCCTGGTGTTACTAGAAGGTTCCGCGGGTCGCGAAGCGTCCCGAACGGGTCCTTCCCGAATTCAGTAGAAGGCAATTCGGTGGCAACCGAAAAGCCTAGAATTCGGTGCACTCAACCTAGTTCGGTGCCTATAACTATAATAAATATAGTAAAAGCAACGAACCTAGGAAATCTAGCAAAAGCAAGCAAAATAAAGCAAAGCTAAGCTAGATAATGCATAATAAAGCATAATCAAGCTAGTAAATCACAGCAAAGCCGTCGTACTATCACAATCCAAACCCCATGGGTCAAAGCTATCACTATAGCTCGCCACTTCAACCGAGGCGCGCGGTTGTTTGCCGTCTGCTTGCGCGAGTTGGCAGTTGACACCGACAAAAAAGTCATCGAGAAGCTCTATGAAGCTGTACCACCGGATTTAGCGGAGCTGATTCGACAGTACCCCGACATCTTTCCCGACGATCTGCCACCTGGACTGCCACCCGAGAGACCCGAGGACCACAAAATTCAGTTGAAACCTGGCACGCAGCCGTCTGTTTGAATACAGTGGTGGTTGACCTAGCCGGAACTAGAAAAGTTGCGAAGCCAAGTTGACGCACTGTTGGAGAAAGAGTTGATTCGACCCAGTACTTCGCCCTTCGAAGAACCGATCCTGTTCACTCCGAACAAAGATGGTGGGCTTCGCATGTGCATCGACTATCGCGCGCTCAACTGGGTAACAATCAAGTCTCGCTATCCAATCCACTGACGATCTCCTCGACCAACTTTGCGGCGCTCGATCTTTCTCGAAGATTGACGTGAACAGGGTATTTCAGGATCTTCTCGACCGCTGTGTCGTCGTCTACTTGGACAATATTTTCATATTTAGCAGGACACGGGAGCAGCAACTCCGCGACCTTGAAGGAGAATCGCCTCATCACCAATGGCTCTAAGTGCAAGTCTTCTAAGCAAAAGTTGGAGTTTTCGAGCCATGTCATTTCCCGCGACGGCATTACATTTGACCCGGCAAAAACCAGGATGATCAGAGGAAACCAAACCCTGAAATAATAATAAATGACAAGCAGGTAGAGTTACTTTAGTCCGATATCCAAGGTCCTGACTACTACTTGACACCTGCATCATCTCCCTCACTGTGATCTGCTTGCCCTGCACTTGCTTCCCTTCCATCCCCTGCCCTCCCCCTCCCTCCCCCTCCCTCCCCCTCCACCCTTTGCCCAATTTGGATGGCCTCCTAAACCCCTGTGACCATCACTGACAACACACTGGCCCTTGCCGGCTGGAGTTTGACACTCACTGTTAGCCCGTGCACCCTCTACACTTCCACCACCAATGACTGGTTCTTGACCGTCGTTGACTGCCACGTCACCGGTATCACCCCTCCAACCCCCTTACCCTTCCCCTCTCCCCCCCCCTTTGACCATCATCGGCACCTGGCTGGTCTTCACGACCTGCCAGTGCAACCACTTGCACCTCTCCTGCCCCCGCGTTCATGCATCACTCCTACTCTCCTTCGTTTTCAACTTCCTTGTCTCCTTTCGTGCCTCCGACTTTCTCTCCTACCTTTGCAGCCATAGTGCTTTTCCCCATGACCTCAAACCCCTCCTTCCCACTCGCCTCTCCCTCATTACCATTCGACTCTCCTTACTCCACACTCGTCTCTCCATCCTTTTCATTCATATCTCCCTCCTTCCCACTCGTCTCTCCCTCCTTTCCGCATGTCTCTCCCTCCTTCCCACTCAACTGTACCTCCTTCCCAATTATCTCGCCCTCCTTTCCATTCGTCTCTCCTTCGTTCCCACATGTCTCTCCCTCCTTCCCGTTCATTTCCCCTCCTCCCCATTCAACTCTTCTTCCTCCCCACGCGGCTCTCCCTCCTTTCGACCCATCTCTCCTTCCTTCCCACATGTCCCTCCCTCGTTCCCACTCGTCTCTCCCTCCTTCCCACTCATCTCTCCCTTGTTCCCAGTTGTCTCTCCCTCCTTTCCATTTGTCTCTCCTTCCTTTCCACAAGTCTCTCCCTCCTTCCCATTCAACGCTTCTTCCTCCCCACTCATCTCTCCCTCCTTTGACTCACATCTGCTTCCTTCCAACTCGTCTCTCCCTCCTTTCCGCTTGTCTGTCCCTCCTTCCCATTCATCTCTCCCTCGTTCCCAATTGCCTCTTCCTCCAAGCCATTCGTCTCTCCTTCCTTTCCACATGTCTCTCCCTCCATTCCGTTCGCCTCTCCCTCATTTCCACTCATCTCTCTTTCCTTCCCACATATCTCTCCCGCCTTCCCATTAGTCTCTTCCTCCTTCCCACTTGTCTCCCCCTCATTCCCACTCGTCTCTCCCCCCTCCCCACTCGCCTTTCCCTCCTTTCCAATCGCCCCTCCCTCTTTTCCACTAGTCTTGCCCTTCTTCCCACTCTTCTCTCCCTCCTTCCCACTCGTCTCGCCTTCTTTCCCATTCGTATCTCCTTCCTTCCCACGTGTCTCTCCCTCCTTACTGCTCAAATCCCCTCCCCTTGCAGTCACATCCCCTCCCCTCACAGTCAAATCCCCTTCCCCCATAGCCACATCCCCTTCCCCCGTAGCCACATCCCCTTCCCCCAGAGTCACATCTCCTCCCTCCCCCATACTCAAGTCTCCCACTTCAAACACAATAACTCCATCATCCCTCACACATACAGTTCCTGTCCCCTCACTCACCTCCTCCTGCTCACGCATATCCCATCCAGCACTCACATTCTGGCCTGAAAGCAACAACTCTTCCCCTCCACTCAAACCCACCCGTTGAGCTGCATTGACCACCCCGTCTGCCCCGTCTGCCCCTCCAACAGCATTCCCGCCCTCCTCCCCTCTCGGACCAGACATCTCAACCTCAGTGCCCCCCACCTCGCCCCCAGTGCGCACCGCATCGCCAGGTGCGCCCAGATCCTTGCCCTGCCCCCCCTCATCACCACGCGCCCCCAGCTCTTTGGCAAGGTCAGCAGCGCCCCCTCCCCCAGCAGCGCCTCCCCCAGCAGCACCCCCTCCCCCAGCAGCACCCCCCTCCCCCAGCAGCGCCTCCCCCAGCAGCGCCTCCCCCCAGCTCTTTGACGAGGTCAGCCACGATGCTGCACAGGCTGCACTGCCCTGCCGGCCCGTCCGCCACACAGCGGTGCGACAGCGTGAACACCCCCCCTCCGCTGCCCCTGCCCCCCGGCACACTCACCGTCCCCACCCTCTCATCCCCTCCCTGCCCCCCTCCCTTCTCCCCTCCCTGCCCCCCTCCCTTCTCCCCTCCCTGCCCCCCTCCCTTCTCCCCTCCCTGCCCCCCTCCCTTCTCCCCTCCCTGCCCCCCTCCCTTCTCCCCTCCCTGCCCCCCTCCCTTCTCCCCTCCCTGCCCCCCTCCCTTCTCCCCTCCCTGCCCCCCTCCCTTCTCCCCTCCCTGCCCCCCTCCCTTCTCCCCTCCCTGCCCCCCTCCCTTCTCCCCTCCCTGCCCCCCTCCCTTCTCCCCTCCCTGCCCCCCTCCCTTCTCCCCTCCCTGCCCCCCTCCCTTCTCCCCTCCCTGCCCCCCTCCCTTCTCCCCTCCCTGCCCCCCTCCCTTCTCCCCTCCCTGCCCCCCTCCTTGCTCCCCCCCATGCTCCCCTCTCGCCTCTCCTCCCTGCTCCCCTCCCTGCTCCCCTCCCTGCTCCCCCTCTCCCCTCGCCACTGCACTGCTTCTTTCCTTCGCCTGGCCCTGTAGCAGCCGCTCCACCAATGGCAGCCCCACAATCGCTGCTTCCCTCCAAACCCCTCCTTCCCCTGCTCCCCCCCCCCCCCCTGCTCCCCTTCCTCCCCCTCCTCCCACATCCGCTCTGCCTTGACCCACACCCACTGCCCCTCCTCCTGCATTCACTGCTGCTTGACCAACATTGATTGCTGCTTGACCAGCGTTGACTGCTACTTGACCAGCGTTGACTGGTGCTTGACCAGCATTTCTTGTCTGTAGCACAGCAGCTCCTCTCACACGACCTGCACCCAACCCTGGCTGGCCGACAGCTGTCTCCACCTGATTCGCTGAGGCTCCTCTACTTGGATCCGCATTGACCACTGGTTGACTCGCGTTGACTGCTGCTTGACCCGCGTTGACCGCTGGTTGACTCGCATTGACTGCATCTTGACTCGCGTTGACTGTGCCTTGACGCATTCTAGCTGCCACACACTCACGGCACTCGCACTGAATCCCATTGACCACCACTGGAACGTCAACCACCCCCCCTTGACCAGCATTGACTGCATGTTGACCAGCATTGACTGCATGTTGACCTGTGCTGGCCATCTGTTGACCAGCGTTGACTCCTCCCACGCTCTCTCGCACCAACTCCTGCACGCGATGCCCCAGCAGCTCTAGTCCTGCCATGCTGCCCGCCTCTCCTGTGCCCACCCCACCTGTACCGCCCACCCCACCTATACCGGCCACCCCACCTGCTCCTCCTGCTCCTCCTACCCCTCCCCTTCGACCCACCCGTCTTCCTCCTCCTCCACCCTCCCACCCACCTTGTAAACCCCTCGCTCCTCCTGCTGAGGCTGCTGCTGCTGCCATTCCCACACCACCACTCCCACCTCCTGCCATTCCCCCCACTGCCCCCGTTTGCCCTACCACCCCCAATCCCCTCCAACCGAAACCCGCTTCTCCCATCCGCATTCCCCCCGTCCCCGTTTCCCCCATCCTCGTTCCCCCCATTCCCATTACCCCGGTACGCGTTTCCCCTATCCTCATTCCCCCTGTTCCTGTCCCGCCCATCGCTGTAACCCCCATACCCACTCTCGTTGATTCCACCCCCGCTGTTCCCGTCCCTCCTCCAGTTGCCCCCAACCCCGTCGCCCCCACCCCAGCCCCTCCCACTCCCACTCCTCCAGCACCCATTCCCCCCACACCCCCACCCAAACCCCCCGTCCCCCCTCCCCCGCCAACCACACCGACACCGGCAGCCACACCCGACAGCCCCGCAAGCTGCTGGTCCACCAAGCCGGCGTTCCCCCCAGCAGCAGCGGCAGCAGCAGCGGTGCCTTGAATCCCTGCCAGCTGGCGGTCGACGGCGTGGGCGTGGGCGCGGCGGGCAAAGAGCGTCTGCAGGGCGGGGCTCATGGCCTGGAAGGCGTGGGCGTCGAGGGGGCGCTGCAGGAAGGCGTCGATGGCCGCCACGCGCTGCGCGTCCGTCAGCGAGGGCAGCGCCTGCACTGCCTGCACCGACTTGAATACGCTGTCCGCCACCGCGTCTGCAGGTCAAGAGGTCGGTACAGAGGTGGTAGGTAGGAGCAGAGGAAAGTGTAAACGATCACCATCATTTTCATTATTTATCACCGTCGTAGCGTTTGCTCGTGCTCTCTCTTCTTGCGCATTCACGGTAATGGCAAGAATTTCTCTAGCAAAAGTTGGATATGAAGATGATAAGGTAATGGCAACAATGGCTACATCATTGGCCTAGCAATCTAGCACACGGGCAGGTTGACCTCCAGCACAGCACGGGGGCGGCATGCCAGCACTGCAAGTCGACATCGTGCCAGCAAAGGTAGAAGGCGATTTGCCAACGTTGCAAGTCGACGACCTACCAGCGCTGCACCGAAGGCGGCTTGCAAACGCAACAGCAAGGCGGCCTGCCAGAGTTGCAACCGCAGGTGATTGTATAGGCATGTGCGCGCACCTACTTCGCAGGTGCAAGATGACGGTTGCGCACGTTGTGCACCGTCACGCAAATTGCGCAGGCACCAAGTCGGCCACGTGCCAACAGTAGCGCCAAATTTGCCACATCGTCCGCAGGTCGACTTCGTCAAACCTCCTGGGCGACGTCTGCACACCCCCATAGAACTTTGCCAACCAGGTAATCAAGTCGACTAGGAAGTGTCCCTTGGGCCCGCATGTCGACGCCCAAGTCAAAGTCGGCCACCAACTTCTCTTCTTTGGCGGCTTTGCTGTGGTCCCGCGGAAGACGACCAAATCCGTCGACTTCCTCGCCAAGTCAGCGTCGACATTGACCGTGACCGTGAAGTGAAGGTTGGATTGCAGATAACACAACTAGCAGGTTTGTTGCAGGTTCATCTTCGGTTGTGCACAAAATGGCGAAGGAAGGAATGGCGAACTTCTGGTACTATCAACTTTACGCCTGTTAGATAACAGCGCCAGACCTTAAATGTGCGCACGACGACGACAATCTTTTTGTCATGCATCGGGTATTTGCGTTCAGGTGGATGCAGTCTGCGAAATCCGTAAGTGATGGGCTGCAGAGCGATTCCGCCCTAGGGATTGAAATTCATTTGCAGTCATGGCTAGTGCTCGTTTGGCGTAGTGAGGATGACACTCCACCAATCCATGGCGATCCTCAGCTCAGACTAAAGACATAACGTCACATTTTTTTGCTACAACGTAACGTGATTCACAAAAAAAAAAAAAACATGGTAAAAATCCATGATCAAACTATCAGATTTACCCAACCAGTTCTATAAAGTTACCCCAGCCACAATTCAAGGCCTAGCATTGCGACAGTAAATAAAAAGCGTCCAGCGTATATGCGCTAGCGTTTGTATGCTAGACACTAGACGCTCGCGGGACGCTGGACTCTCGCCCTGAAAATCTCCGCACCTGTTGTGCCTTGATATATACCGATACGCGTGTGTGCTTGCCTTCACATCACATCATATGACATCACATCGCATTGCATCGGCATCGTAGGGAAGCACAGTGCATCGCATCACATTTCACTCTCCATCGCATCCAGACCCGACCCCCAACCTCTCACATCCCACCCTACACCACCCCACCCTATCCCATCCCATCCCATCCCATCCCGTCCCATCCCATCCCATCCCATCCCATTCCGTCCCATCCCATCCCATCCCAGCCCAGCCCAGCCCAGCCCAGCCCACCCCACCCCACCCCACCCCACCCCACCCCACCCCACCCCACCCCATCCCATCCCATCCCATCCCATCCCATCCCATCACACCACGCACCTCTATGCACGTGCGGCTGCCCCTTCTCCGCCATGCTCCTGAACGTGGTGAGGGCACGCGCCACACTCTCCATCACCCGCCGCTGCCGCTTCCTCTCCCTCACCTGCATCCACACCGGCCTCGACCGCTTCACACCCCTCCCCACTCGATTCTGCCCCTCTTGAACCCGAATCTCCTGCCATGCACTTGCATTCCCTCCTCCTCCATCTCCTCCATCCCCAACCTCTCCTCCGTCAACCCCTCTCCTCTCAGTGCCGCCTGGCTCCCTCCTGCTCGCCACCATGCCAGCGATCCGCGCTGCCAGCCTCGCAGGGTAGTCGTCCCTCTCATCCTCACTTGCACCAGCCACGTCAGCAGCATGGGCCACGTCAGCACGAGCACCGTCAGAAGAAGTGACATTGTTTCGTGCCACCTCAGCACGATGCACGCCATTGGCCTGTGGAGCGTCAGCTGGATGGCCAATCCCGCCATTCCCCTGTGCAGCTCCAACCCCATCACTCCCGATCCCTCTCCCCGCCACACCCTGTCCCCCTCTGCTCCTCACACCTCCCCATTCCCTAGCCCGGCGCCCCACATTTCCCCTCCTTGTTCCCCACCACTCATCACCGTTCCACTCTCCACCTCTCCAACCCCCTCCACTCACCCCTCCCATCTCCTCCCGCTCTGCATCTCCATTCCCCACCCCTCCTACCCGCACCTCCACCACTTCATCATCCTCCTCTTCCCTATCATCTCCCTCTTCCTCCTCCTCCTCTCCCTGTTCCTCCCCATCTCCCTCCTCATCCTCCTCCTCTTCCCAATCATCCTCCCAATCATCCTCATCCTCCTCCTCCTCCTCCCCCCACGGCACCTCCCCTTGCACGTTCTCAGCAGGGCAGGTGTGGGTGGAGAGCAGGGCGAGGGGCAGCCAGGGAGCCACGTGGCTGCACCACCGCAGGTAGTTCCGCGCCAGCGGGTGCTGCCTCAGCTTGGGAATGATGCCCAGCTGACACGGGAAGAGGAGAAGTGGGGATGGGAGAGTGAGGAAAGTGGGGTAATGAACAGCAGGGGGTGTCGCCACAGCTGGTGCTGCCTCCACTGTGGGCTGATGCCCGACTGATGCGGGGAGAGGAGAGAGAGGCAGGGAGGGGAGAGTGTGGGGGGGTGTGCGGGATGGGAGAAATGGGGTAACGAACAGCAAGCAAGGAAAGGGAGAGAGAAGGTGTGTGGGATTCAGCGCATGGGGCTTTGGTGAGGTGGAAGCAGAGGAGGGTGGGCGTCAGCGCATACAGGATAAAGGAGGGAGGGCGTCAGCGCATACAGGATAAAGGTCCACACGAGCCTAGTTCAAAGGAACTGATTTGGAGTACGCATCTCAGGAGAAGAGGGCTCTTGCTTCTGTACGTTCCATTCCATGTAAGAAAAAACATCGCATTCCAGTGCCCACATCCCAACCTGCAGTCGGGGTTAACCGTTAACGAGCATTTCAACTTCAACTTAGGGTCAGGGTCGAAATAGAGACCACCATGGGGTCAGTGCAAAACCACAACTGAACTTAGGGTCAATTTCAAAAACCCCGAACCGAACGTACCTTGGGGTCAGGATCAAAGTACTGAGTCGTGGGGTCCCACTTGACTTCAGGCGGCAGCATCGCCTGGAGGGCCTGTATGTCCTTCACCCACCCCCGCACCACTCTGCACCGGATTCTAAGCTGCTCCTCCGAGTACCTGGGGTACCCCCGCCGCAACCACTCGCGGTGCACCGCCCCCCAGTCCTCGATCTTGCCGGGGAGGGGGGAGCCCTGAGCGCGCACCACGCCGCGCATGATCTTCAGCAGCGCGATTGTCTGCTCGTCACTCCACCACACCGCCCGCCGCCTGCCCCTGCCGCAAGCGTGACTCCTAGTACCTCTCCACACCTGCTCCAACCGCACGCCCAACCCCGTGGTGGCTGTGCCCGTGCCCGCGCCTCTGCCCGTACCTGTGCCCGCGCCTGCTCCCGTGCCTGTGGGCGTGCCCACGCCTGTGCCTGTGCCCGTGCCCGCACCTGTGCCTGTACCTGTGCCCACGCCCGTTCCTCTGCCTGTGCCTGTGGTCGCGTGCAAGGGGGGCACGGGGAGACCAAGGGCGGAAGAGTGGGGGGTGGGCGAGGGGAAGGCGTAGGGGGGAAGGGCAGGCCGGGCGACAGCGGGGTTGGCGGCCAAAACCGATTCCAACCGCACGCCACCGCGCTGCTCCTCCGCGCGCACCCCCGCTTGACCCGCTCCCCCAGCAGTCCTTCCAGCTGCGGCTGCGGCTGCTTCCCTTCGCTGCGCCGTTGCTGCTGCGGGGCCGCCTGCGCGGCGGGCAGCCTCCGCCGTTTGCGCGGCTTCCGCCGGCAGGTCAGGCGGTCTGCTGGGCGGCTGGCTGGGAGGCTGCTGGTCGGCGACCGCCTGTAGGCGCTGTAAGAGAAGCGAGCGAGTCATGCTGTAACGGGGAACGGGACGGAGAGGGGGAGAAGAGGGAATAAACCAGAGCAATGTTATGGAAGCTTGCGCAGGTTGCTTATCTGCATTACTTGACTTTAAGCGTCAGATGCAAAAATTTAATCATTGCGGAGGTTGCGTATCTGCGTTGCGATACTTCAGATGCAGGCATCGCAAGCTAAATGGCCACACGTGACGTGATGGCAGTCAAAGGTGACATGGATACTCGTCATAAAGCTCCACATGCTGAGAAACATTGCGATCCACGACACGCGTTAAACTGACATAACCATTGTTCTGAGCGCGTAAAAAGTGTTTACTTGCAACGTTTATTTCCAGCGCACCTTGCTTCGAAATGGCTTGATTAGGTATTTCAGCCGATCAAAAGTAACACGAAACGCGGGCTGTGGCCGAAGCGCGCTCGCGGGAGTCGTAACGTAGTGGTCAGGAGATTCAGGAAGCTTCGCAAGTACCTAGGAAAGTGCATAGAACGTAGCTGCGATTTGAGCACATGGAGGCCCGGTAGAACAGCAGCTAGGGTTTCAACGTTGGCAGAATTGCCCGTTGGTTTCTAGGAGGGCTGCTTCATGTTCCGGTAATGTAGCAAAATCGACCTACCCCAAGGCTGCTTTATGCTCTGGGACGAGAGAGTCGAATAAATGGCGGGAAAATGTTGTGCGACCACGTTACATGGTTCGATTGAACTCGCGAACATTTCGCCAAGCATGAGCCGAGTCTGGAATTTCGCGACAAGCCTCGGCGCCTTCCCTTGACTGGTCCCGCTTTTGATGAGGGATCCGTTGGAACTTTCGGGATTCGCGTTTGAGGTCTGCAAACTTCTCCGATTCCCGCGAGTGTAGTGCACGAATATTTTTTGGGGAAAATGCCCAACCTCGTTGTTACAAAATGCCCAACCTCGTTGTTTGCTGCTACCATCTGGCGTCACGGGCACGCTGCCACAAAGCGCGGCTCACGTTTCATCGTTCACCGCTTTCAACCGCATCTCAGCTGCATCGACGATCGCGCTGCCAGAGCGTGTCATGTTATTAGGCAAACCAAAGGCGTCGCTCACACCTCAGCCTTGTCGTTGTGCAGTTAGCAGCAATTATTTCTACGTGGATCCCGAATCGTCAGAGTTTGAAGATGACGTTATCGTTGTACGAATCATCGCAATGAGTCGTTTTATAAGAAATTTTCCGTAACGAGCGGGCTTCAGGGGCCAGTGTAACGGACTGTCGCACCGCTGGAGCAGCAGCCGGTTAGAAAACAGACTGACGATAATCCAGCGAGCAGGATTAAGAGCTTCTAACCGTTTCTCCTACGGAGGCGTTAGCGCATAGGTCAGAGGATACAGCAGATCACACAGCATACAGTACAGAGCACACTGCAGAGCACACATCGGAGCACACAGCAGAGCACACAGCAGAGTGAACAGCATGCGGTTCAAGGCGATTCTCACGACGGACGGAGTGACGCTCCTCGAGCAACGTAAGCCCGCCTAGGAATTCACCTTCCTGCCCTTCCCTGTCTGCTCGCTTGACGATTATTTTTCCATTTCAACCTCTCGTGTGCGTTTTGCTCCTGCTATGCTTTCAACCCTGGTTGGCGCTAGGTAGCTCAGCCTCGATCTCTTGGGTCACATGCTCCGTGCTTCCCTTTGTCTACCACGACGACGCACGCAACATTCAGCGCAAACCGCTTCCTTGCGTGCCTCCATCGTCATCACATGCCATCATGCCATGCCATCATGCCATGCCATCATGCCATGCCATGCTATCATGCTATGCCATGCTATCATGCCATGCTCCATGACAGAATATCATCCATGCAACCATCCCATCCGTGCCATCATGCCTCAGCGTGACCATCCGATGGCTTTCTGAGTCGGTTCCTCTTACATCACGCCCTGGAATCATCATTGCTGGCAGTTGTAACCATTCACGCATACACACACTGTCATGGCGCCAACCCAACCACCACCCGTTCCACCCTTACCCCCCCCCCTCCCTCCCCTCTCCACTACTCACGCCCCTTGTGCAGGCTTCCTGCCGGCGTTTGAGCGCATAGGGCGGGTGTGCCACGTGTACCTCACTCCTTCAGACGTTTTCCTCCTGCACAACGTGCTCTCCGCTGATGGTGTGCAGGCCATCGCACAGTTCCCCACTGTAAGGCGTGCAGGCCATCGCACAGTTCCCCACTGTAAGGCGTGCAGGCCATCGCGCAGTTCCCCACTGTAGTGACCCCAAAACACTCGCATCCCTTTTTAGCAGAAGCAATTCCCACAAACTGAAAAGCCACACTGCTCCTTTGGTCGCTTCCTCATGATACCTTTCTGTACCATTAAATGATGGTTCTTTTCTCATTTATTTCCTTTCCCACGCGACCATCTCAGCTTGTACCCACACACGCCCTCCACCCCCCCTCCCTCTAACCACTTCTCTCGTCCCCTGCCCTCACACAGGCCGAGCTGTTCTCGGAGCATCTCATCAGCAGCGCCAGTGCCGACCGCATTGCCTTCTCGCTCGACCTCTCGCTGCTCGCCCGCGCCCTCCGCTCCTCGCTTGCCACCGCCGCCACGCGCCACCAGCTCAAGCTCGTCAAGAAGAGCACCAACCCCTCCACGCCCGCGCTGCCCTTTTTATCTCTCGAGGCTCAGGTGGGTATCTACTCAGAGCATCGCTCAGTGCCGCCCATCGCCACCGTTGCCACGCGCCACCAGCTCAAGCTCATCAACAAGAGCCCCACTCCCTATGCTTCCGCCCTGCCGTTTTCAACCCTGGAGGCCAAGGGGGGCCTGTAAGTGGGCCGCCCTGTCTCAAGCATCGTGCAGGACATACATCCCCATCTCGTTGCCTTGTGAGCACATCACCTGGTCAAGTTCTCACACCACTTGGTCGTCCCTTTCCTCCTTTCCCCGCCCGTCCCCATGGCAAGCGCTCAAGCATCGTGCAGGACATCCACAAATTGAGTTTGAGCCCACTGCAATTCAATGCTGCATTTCCCCCCTCCCCTCACCTCACCCTCTCCAGGGCGAGCGCTCAAGCATCATGCAGGACATCCCCAACTCGACGCCTTGTGAGCCATGTGCAGGACCTTAAGTCTGTTTCCTCGTGCCCCCCTTCCCCCCTCCCCCACCTCCACTTCCCCCCCCAGGGCGAGCGGTCGAGCATCGTGCAGGACATCCCCATCTCGACGCCGCTGCCGCGCTCGCAGCTGAACGAGCTGCAGGCTGGCATCGACCTCGTGCACTCGCTGCCTGAGGTGAGGTGAGGCACTCGCTGCCTGAGGTGAGGAGGAGAGGAGTGTGTTGAGTTGACTAGCGTTGACTCTGGTTGACTCCTGTTGACTAGCAGCTGAACGAGCTGCAGGCTGGCATCGACCTCGTGCACTCGCTGCCTGAGGTGAGGCACTCGCTGCCTGAGGTGAGGAGGAGAGGAGTGTGTTGAGTTGACTTGCGTTGACTCTGGTTGACTCCTGTTGACTAGCAGCTGAACGAGCTGCAGGCTGGCATCGACCTCGTGCACTCGCTGCCTGAGGTGAGGCACTCGCTGCCTGAGGTGAGGAGGAGAGGAGTGTGTTGAGTTGACTTGCGTTGACTCTGGTTGACTCCTGTTGACTAGCAGCTGAACGAGCTGCAGGCTGGCATCGACCTCGTGCACTCGCTGCCTGAGGTGAGGCACTCGCTGCCTGAGGTGAGGAGGAGAGGAGTGTGTTGAGTTGACTTGCGTTGACTCTGGTTGACTCCTGTTGACTAGCAGCTGAACGAGCTGCAGGCTGGCATCGACCTCGTGCACTCGCTGCCTGAGGTGAGGCACTCGCTGCCTGAGGTGAGGAGGAGAGGAGTGTGTTGAGTTGACTTGCGTTGACTCTGGTTGACTCCTGTTGACTAGCAGCTGAACGAGCTGCAGGCTGGCATCGACCTCGTGCACTCGCTGCCTGAGGTGAGGCACTCGCTGCCTGAGGTGAGGAGGAGAGGAGTGTGTTGAGTTGACTTGCGTTGACTCTGGTTGACTCCTGTTGACTAGCAACTGAACGAGCTGGAGGCTGGCATCGACCTCGTGCACTCGCTGCCTGAGGTGAGGCACTCGCTGCCTGAGGTGAGGAGGAGAGGAGTGTTTTGAGTTGACTTGCGTTGACTCTGGTTGACTCCTGTTGACTAGCAGCTGAACGAGCTGCAGGCTGGCATCGACCTCGTGCACTCGCTGCCTTAGGTGAGGCACTCGCTGCCTGAGGTGAGGAGGAGAGGAGTGTGTTGAGTTGACTTGCGTTGACTCTGGTTGACTCCTGTTGACTAGCAGCTGAACGAGCTGCAGGCTGGCATCGACCTCGTGCACTCGCTGCCTGAGGTGAGGCACTCGCTGCCTGAGGTGAGGAGGAGAGGAGTGTGTTGAGTTGACTTGCGTTGACTCTGGTTGACTCCTGTTGACTAGCAGCTGAACGAGCTGCAGGCTGGCATCGACCTCGTGCACTCGCTGCCTGAGGTGAGGCACTCGCTGCCTGAGGTGAGGAGGAGAGGAGTGTTTTGAGTTGACTTGCGTTGACTCTGGTTGACTCCTGTTGACTAGCAGCTGAACGAGCTGCAGGCTGGCATCGACCTCGTGCACTCGCTGCCTGAGGTGAGGCACTCGCTGCCTGAGGTGAGGAGGAGAGGAGTGTGTTGAGTTGACTTGCGTTGACTCTGGTTGACTCCTGTTGACTAGCAGCTGAACGAGCTGCAGGCTGGCATCGACCTCGTGCACTCGCTGCCTGAGGTGAGGCACTCGCTGCCTGAGGTGAGGAGGAGAGGAGTATGTTGAGTTGACTTCCGTTGACTCTGGTTGACTCCTGTTGACTAGCAGCTGAACGAGCTGCAGGCTGGCATCGACCTCGTGCACTCGCTGCCCCAGGTGAGGAGAGGAGTGTGTTGAGTTGACTTGCATTGACTCTGGTTGACTCCTGTTGACTAGCAGCTGAACAAGCTGCAGGCTGGCATCGACCTCGTGCACTCGCTGCCTGAGGTGAGGCACTCGCTGCCTGAGGTGAGGAGGAGAGGAGTATGTTGAGTTGACTTGCGTTGACTCTGGTTGACTCCTGTTGACTAGCAGCTGAACAAGCTGCAGGCTGGCATCGACCTCGTGCACTCGCTGCCTGAGGTGAGGAGGAGAGGAGTGTGTTGAGTTGACTTGCGTTGACTCTGGTTGACTTCTGTTGACTAGCAGCTGAACGAGCTGCAGGCTGGCATCGACCTCGTGCACTCGCTGCCTGAGGTGAGGCACTCGCTGCCTGAGGTGAGGAGGAGAGGAGTATGTTGAGTTGACTTGCGTTGACTCTGGTTGACTCCTGTTGACTAGCAGCTGAACGAGCTGCAGGCTGGCATCGACCTCGTGCACTCGCTGCCTGAGGTGAGGAGGAGAGGAGTGTGTTGAGTTGACTTGCGTTGACTCTGGTTGACTCCTGTTGACTAGCAGCTGAACGAGCTGCAGGCTGGCATCGACCTCGTGCACTCGCTGCCTGAGGTGAGGCACTCGCTGCCTGAGGTGAGGAGGAGAGGAGTGTGTTGAGTTGACTTGCGTTGACTCTGGTTGACTCCTGTTGACTAGCAGCTGAACGAGCTGCAGGCTGGCATCGACCTCGTGCACTCGCTGCCTGAGGTGAGGCACTCGCTGCCTGAGGTGAGGAGGAGAGGAGTGTGTTGAGTTGACTTGCGTTGACTCTGGTTGACTCCTGTTGACTAGCAGCTGAACGAGCTGCAGGCTGGCATCGACCTCGTGCACTCGCTGCCTGAGGTGAGGCACTCGCTGCCTGAGGTGAGGAGGAGAGGAGTGTGTTGAGTTGACTTGCGTTGACTCTGGTTGACTCCTGTTGACTAGCAGCTGAACGAGCTGCAGGCTGGCATCGACCTCGTGCACTTGCTGCCTGAGATGAGGAGGAGAGGAGTGTGTTGAGTTGACTTGCGTTGACTCTGGTTGACTCCTGTTGACTAGCAGCTGAACGAGCTGCAGGCTGGCATCGACCTCGTGCACTCGCTGCCTGAGGTGAGGCACTCGCTGCCTGAGGTGAGGAGGAGAGGAGTGTGTTGAGTTGACTTGCGTTGACTCTGGTTGACTCCTGTTGACTAGCAGCTGAACGAGCTGCAGGCTGGCATCGACCTCGTGCACTCGCTGCCTGAGGTGAGGAGAGGAGTGTGTTGAGTTGACTTGCGTTGACTCTGGTTGACTCCTGTTGACTAGCAGCTGAACGAGCTGCAGGCTGGCATCGACCTTGTGCACTCGCTGCCTGAGGTGAGGCACTCGCTGCCTGAGGTGAGGAGGAGAGGAGTGTGTTGAGTTGACTTGCGTTGTCTCTGGTTGACTCCTGTTGACTAGCAGCTGAACGAGCTGCAGGCTGGCATCGACCTCGTGCACTCGCTGCCTGAGGTGAGGCACTCGCTGCCTGAGGTGAGGAGGAGAGGAGTGTGTTGAGTTGACTTGCGTTGACTCTGGTTGACTCCTGTTGACTAGCAGCTGAACGAGCTGCAGGCTGGCATTGACCTCGTGCACTCGCTGCCTGAGGTGAGGCACTCGCTGCCTGAGGTGAGGAGGAGAGGAGTGTGTTGAGTTGACTTGCGTTGACTCTGGTTGACTCCTGTTGACTAGCAGCTGAACAAGCTGCAGGCTGGCATCGACCTCGTGCACTCGCTGCCTGAGGTGAGGAGGAGAGGAGTATGTTGAGTTGACTTGCGTTGACTCTGGTTGACTCCTGTTGACTAGCAGCTGAACGAGCTGCAGGCTGGCATCGACCTCGTGCACTCGCTGCCTGAGGTGCGGCCCGCGTCGATTCCAGGTGGCTACTGATAAGTTCAGGGTTTTATCAATCTCGTGCTCTCGCCCATTGCTGCGCGGGCCGATGTGTTGCCTGATGGTGCGTTGCTGGACTGGGCGTCAACCCGTTGCTTTGCAATGCTGCATTAACCAATGCTGTGCTATCCAGTGGTGTCTGAGTTGAGGTAAGCACCCGTGCATGTTGTCCTCCCTTCCCAGCGAGCTGGTTGAATTCTTCCCTCTCTGTTATCCCTCTCCCCAGACTCGTTGTTGAGTCGACTCAAGAATAGGATCTGTTATCCCTCTCCTTGAATCCTGGTGCAGCTGCCGGATTGGATCTGCCGCATTGGATCTGCCGGATTGGATCCGCCGGATTGGATCCGCCGGATTGGATCCGCCGGATTGGATCCGCCGGATTGGATCTGCCGGATTGGATCTGCCGGATTGGATCTGCCATCGGTGCGCCATGGTGGAGTGCCTGCCTGCTCCTGCATCTGGCACAGTGTGGGCGACGTGGTGTGAGAAGAGTGTGAAACGCCCTTTACTGGACTGATACTGCCCCGTCCTGTCTTTTCCTCACTCGCCCTTCTGTTTGCGCCTCTCCTCCTCGCCCTCCCCCGCCCCTCAGACCCTGGTGCAACTGCCTGACCTGCCCTCGCTACACCATCTGGTGGAGCACCTACAGAGTGTGGGCGACGTGGCTGATGTGATGAGAAACACTCCCATCGGGCCCTCTCCTTGTTTCCCGCTCATTCAGACCCTGGTGCAACTGCCTGACCTGCCGTCCCTGCGGCATCTGGTGGAGCGCCTACAGAGTGTGGGCGACGTGGCTGACGTGGCAACGATGAGGAGCGGTGCACTCGCCATGCGCACCCACACGCCCTCCATCACCGTGGCCGCCCAGTTCAAGAACCTCAGAGTCTTTGGGGCTAATTCAGGTGAAGCACTCAGTCGGTCTGTTCGGTTTCAGCCCTTGCCAGGTGACTGTTGAGGCGTCTCTGTACTTGCCTTGCGCACGCACACTCCCTCCATCACTATCACTGCCCAGTTCAAGAATCTGAGAGTCTTTGAGTCAATTCAGGTGCAGTGCAGTGTCGTATGAGGTTCCCATGCAGATGAAACGATTCTTACCACCTCTGCCTGCCAGGCTCTGCCCACACTATTGCTTTTTTTCTTTCTTCCTTCCCTCTCTTGCACTATTGGCCTTTGCTCTCTTTCACCTGCTTCACCAATCTTCATGTGACTCCAACCTTCTCCACCCCTCTTCACCCGTGGCCACATGTTTTCCACGAAGCAGAGAGCCAGCAGAGTGGAGCGGGGGTGGGGGAGGGCAGCAGGCAAGGGGGAGGGGCAGACGACGATGAAGACATATCGGGGCTGTCCACAAGGCTCAGACAGATGCAAGCTACAGGCGATGCTACAGTCGTGGTGAGGCGTGGGCTGCACAATAAGTCGTGTTGTGGGGCGGGGTTAAGGATTGGGCAGCAGGCAAGGGGGAGGTGCAGATGACAATGAAGACATATCAGGGCTGTCCACGAGGCTCAGACAAGTCAGGCGATGCTACAGCCGTGGTGAGGCGTGGCCGAGTGGGCAGCACAATAAGTCAGAGGGGTGCTGTAGGAAGATGAACGGGGCTTGTTGCAGTGGCTGTGAGCCGTGAGCATCTCGTGCAGGAGTCTTCTTATATGGCTGGAGCAGTACCACAAACTGGGCTTTATCTGGCAGCTGCACTGCACGTCTCAGTTTCTAAAGCATGGTCATGCCTCCCCACGCACGTCTCCTGCACCAACCTGTGTGTCATGTCTTCCCACGATGTTACATTTTACATGCCTTCTCCCACTTGCTATCTTTTCTCAGAATTTCCATCTTCTCCTCCCTCACGTTTGTTCTCTGCAGTCTTCACCGCGCCCTCAGTGAGTGTGAAGCACCTCCTTGCATTTTGCATGCACTGCTGCCTCACCCCTCTGCCGTCCCTGCCCCATCCCTCGCTCACCCATCTCACCCCTCCCACCCTCCCCCATCCCTGTCACACCTCTGCCATGATGCCATCACTGCCCCATTCCTCGCTTACCCATCTCAACCCTCCCCCATCCCTCTCACGCCTCTATCCCCCGAGCAGTCAGTGAGTGTGAAGCACCTAGCCCGCAGTCTGCAGTGCTACCTCACCCGCCCAGACGCCTCCTATTGCGGTCAGTGCCACTCACTCACTTTCTACCTGCTTTACTCACTTTCCCCTCTTAGTCTCTCGTGCTCTCGCCCCTGGCTAGGTGTGTGCCACTGCGCTCACTCCATGCATTCAACTGTTTCCACTTGCTTTATCATTTGTGTGGTCCCTCTTGTTTGGACACCTGCAGCTCTCACGCTCTCATGCCTCATCGCATTACTCTCCCCGCATTCCCCTCCATGCATTCTCAGCTGGTCCAACTGTGAACTCTGTCCTGCTTATACCCTCACCTCACCCTTCTCCTCACCGTCACATGGCGGTCCCTTCTTATATTTACCCCCCTTGCTGCGTGCTCCTCTCACCACACTATGCTATCAAGCTGAGTGCAGCAATCACCTCCCCACCCACCGCCCTGTCCGTGCATACATGGGTGCTCTCTAACAAGGCATGTATGCTCCGTGCTGCTCCCTTGATGCTATCAACTGCCTCCCTTGTGCCATCACTTTTGAGAATTATCATACGTGCGGGCAAGCAGGGGTGGCACCCAACGAGTCATGCCTGCTCGTGATCTTCCAACCGCCTGCCAAATACCATCACCCCAATCATCCCCACCTACCTCCCCTCCCATCCATGCAAGCAGGCGTGGCACCCAACGAGTCATGCCTGCTCGTGATCTTCCAACCGCCTGCCAAATACCATCACCCCAATCATCCCCACCTACCTCCCCTCCCATCCATGCAAGCAGGCGTGGCACCCAACGAGTCATGCCTGCTCGTGATCTTCCAACCGCCTGCCAAATACCATCACCCCAATCATCCCCACCTACCTCCCCTCCCATCCATGCAAGCAGGCGTGGCACCCAACGAGTCATGCCTGCTCGTGATCTTCCAACCGCCTGCCAGATACCATCACCCCAATCATCCCCACCTACCTCCCCTCCCATCCATGCAAGCAGGCGTGGCACCCAACGAGGCGGGTCTGCTCGTGATCTTCCAATACGCCGTCAACTACCTACCCTGTACCATCCGTTCCGTCATCCCTCCCTCCCCCCTCAACCACCTCCACCCCCCCCTTCCATGTGCTACAAGCAGGGGTGGCACCCAACGAGGCATGCCTGCTCATAATCCCCCAATACTCCCTCCACCGCCTGCCACGTACCATCAACCCCCACCTACCTTCCCTCCCCTCAATGCATGTGAGCAGGCGTAGCACCCAACGAGGCATGCCTGCTCATGATCTTCCAATACGCCGCCTCCCCAATCAGCCTACAGTACCGCCTGCCTCTCCTTGACCCGGGTTAGACTTGGTTAGACCCCTTTGAACAAGCATGCTGCCCCTCCCTGCATGATGCAGGGTGGTGGTAGGTGCCCATATCACGCTCATCGCGTTCATTCAAGACCTCAACCTGCCTCGCACAACAGCCTGTAACACCGCCTTCCCCTCCTTGACCGAGGATATATTTCACACACCTGCTGCTCCCTCAACATTGCAAATTGATTCTCACTACACTCCTCAGACGTCTCAAAGCAATCCAGGTATCAACCTGTCCTCGCCAATCAGCCCGCAGTACCTACCGCCTGCCTCTCCTTGACCCGGGGTAAACCTCACCCTCTGCTCTTCACCCACAAAGCGCTTTCCCTTGCAAGTTGTGCGGCGAGGTTTCTTGTACATAGTCACAAGACAATAACGTATTTAGTAGCTCTACATAGGAGTAAAGCACAAGTGAGCCAAAGCAGACACAAGGCCTAAAGCAGTTTCTTGGCCTAAACGTTGATGATCACCAGGCTGAAATAAGTGCCTTAGTGAATATATCAGCAGTGTTGGCCCTGGTGGCGACGCAAGCAAGACGAAGCTGACCACGCTGCTGCAACTCTCGAGCAAGGAAGTAACGCAAAGCGATGTGTTTCATTCTTTGCTCCAGTCTGTTCTCCTAACACAAGGCAATAGCGGCCTTGTTGTCTACGTACAAAACTGGAGGAGAACGAGGCCGCTCTCCCAAGTCGGTCAGCAGGTATGTTAGCCAGCATAATTCTTATGCAACCAAGGCTCCTGCGTAGATCTCAGCCTCACAACTGGAGCCGAGAACAGAAGACGAGCGGGTAGACCGCCAAGAAACAGAGCCGGAACCAAGGCTGAACGTGTAACCCTGTGACGACTGCTGCGTAGCTAGGCCGTCAACCCAAGGCGCGTCTAAGTATCCAGTGAGGACAACTCGTCCTCGTCCTCCAAGCACAAAGCCCATGCCTGAGGTACTGTACAAGTAGCGCAACACCCTCTTAGCGGCCTCCCAGTGCTCTCGCCGGTGTCTCCCGGGCGCAACGTAGCATGCCAGGATGCTAAGAGGGTACGCAAGGTCAGGTAGAGTGCTGGTCATCAGTTACATGAGGCAGCCCACAAGCTCTGGATACAGGCCACTCGGCTCTACGGACTCGTCCGAAGGTGGAGCTGAGAGCGAGTGACCGGTAGGCAGAGGAGTGGATTGTGGCGAGGAGAACCGGAAGCTGAAGCGCATAAGGACCTGGTGCACCATGTGTGACTGAGTCAGGGTGATGGTGCGCCGCGCTCTGTCCTGGGTGATATGCAAACCAAGATAGTTGTGCAGCTCACCTAGGTCTGTGCACGTGTGTCTCTTCTCAAAGGCCAGTGACCCAGTGTAAGCAGCAAAAAACAAGTCGTCGACGTACACGAGGATGTAGAATGGCGGCAGTGAAGTGTCGGTGCGCAGAAACAGCGACGGGTCTGCAGTCAAAAGAGCAAACCCAAGAGCCGCAAGTGTCGTCCTCAGTGTGTCGTGCCACTCACGAGGTGCCTGGCGGAGACCGTAGACTGGCCGCCTGAGGCTCCACTGGGTACCTGCAGGAAACGACCCAGTGAAGCCAGGTGGGCGGCGCAGCCAGATCTCCTCGTGCAGGCTGCCCTGTAAGAAAGCTGTGCTAAAGTCAAGAGAGTGAAGCTCGTAGTCACACTGAGCGGCAACGTGCAGCAGCACCCGAAGAGTGGTCATTTTCGGGGTAGGGGTGAAGCTATGGAAGAAGTCAACTCCCTCTCGCTGACTAAAGCCTCGTGCAATGTAACGAGCCTTGAAGACAGGCGGAGAACACGGCGGCCGCTTCACCCTGAAAATCTACATGCCATCGACTATGTTCGCCCCAGGAGGGGGAACTGTGTCGACGTAAGTGCCCGTGGACTTCCAGGATGCCATCTCTGCATCCATGGCTGTTTGCCACTGAGAGGAGTAGGGACCCGTAATAGCCTCTGCGTAAGAGCGCGGGGTCGGGATGTCTGGTGCATCCGGGTCTCCCTCAGGTGCAAGCAGCATGGCCACGAGATGAGGTACAGCGGCTGCAAGACACTCAAAGTCCTCCTGCCTGTCCTCAAGGACGTTCGTGCCAAGAGCACACTCACCCTCGACGGACGGAGGACAGTCATACTTCAAGACTAGTGGCGTAGTCGAGACGACACGCAGCAGCAACTAAGGCAGACGCAGCAGCGGACTCAAACGAAGGGTCAGTGACAACAGTGGCTAGGAGACGCGTGACAGTAGGGCTGGCAGCACGAACCAAGTCAGACTCAGGGTCCGGAACGTCAGGAAGAGAGGATGCCAGAGGAGATGGCAGGGAGATACGATGTGGAATAGAGGAGGGACGAAGTGTCATAGTGTGAGTGCCGGGGACAGGAGGAGGACGCGGACGAGGAACGCGATGACCAGTGCGAACAGCGCGAACAGGCGAGGCAGGACGAGACTTAGGCTCACGACGCTTTGTAAGAGAGTCTGACTGCTCAGTGTAAGGAAACGGAGCAGGCAATGGGGAGTCTGGAGGTAACTGTGGCTGCGACTGGTCAGGCGGTGGACATAGTAAGGGAGGAGTAAGGCCAGTAGAAGACGGGAGACTAAGAACCTGGCGAAGTACCGAGTCAGGTGGCGGCAGAGATGACGGTGGCGGTGGAACGAAAAACGGTCACCCCTGTGCAGTACCCCTTGTACCAACACCTCCAGTTCCAGGGCCTCTAGCACCAGCGCCTCCAGCTCCAGGGTCTCCAGCTCCAGCGCCTCCAGCTCCAGCGCCTCCAGCTCCAGCGCCTCCAGCTCCAGCGCCTCCAGCTCTAGTGCCTCCAGCTCCAGCGCCTCCAGCTCCATGGTCTCCAGCTCCAGCGCCCCCAGCTCCAGCGCCTCCAGCTCCAGTGCCTACAGCGTCAGTGCCTCCAACGGCAGAGCCTCCAGCTCCAGCAGCGCCACTCCGAAGGCGGGTGCACCGAGCAAACCACTCGCGCAGCTGCTGTGGTGAGAGAGGCTCTCGCTGGCTAGACTGCTTTTGCGATGCACCTATAGGACCTCAAGGACCAGTAGCTCCAGTACCCCCAGTACCTCTAGCTCCAGCACCTCCAGCACCGAAAGGACCTCCAGCGCCTCCAGTACCAGCAGCACCTCCAACACCTCCGGGACTAGCAGCTCAAACGCCTCCAGCTCCAGCGCCTCCAGCGTCAGTGCCTCCAGCGGCAGGGCCTCCAGCTCCAGCAGCGCCACTCCGAAGGCGGGTGCGCCAGGCAAACCACTCGCGCAGCTGCTGTGGTGAGAGAGGCTCCCGCCGGCTAGACCGCTGCGGCGAGGCACCCGTAGGACCTCCAGCAGACGCAATACCTCTAGGCTCAGCACCCCCAGGCTCCACACCATCATGCTCAGCACCCCCAGGCTTAGCACCCCCAGGCTCAGCACCCCCAAGCTCCGCACCCTCAGGCTCAGCACCCTCAGGCTCAGCACCCCCAGGCTCCGCACCCTCAGGCTCAGCACCCCCAGGCTCCGCACCCTCAGGCTCAGCACCCCCAGGCTCTGCACCCTCAGGCTCAGCACCCCCAGGCTCTGCACGCTCAGGCTCAGCACCCCCAGACGCAGCACCCCTAGCAGTACCACCCCCAGTAGAACCAGAGTCGACAGCAACCAGCTGCAGAGGCGGCAAAGACGGTCGAGTTGGAAAGCCCGGAGGGGTCTCCGGGCGCGGTGAGCGGCGGGGGGCCGCTACGTCATCAGCAGCAACGTCACCCCCCTCGGCTGGGCCAGAGGTGTCAGAAATGACCTTGAAAGGCTCAGCCAAGGGGAGTGGGTCTACCTGAGACACACCTGAAGGAACAGGACCCTGAGGGAAGAAGGAGTCTACCGGAGGGGGACCTGGAGCGAGGAAGAGCGGTGGGGGGGGAGGGGGGCAGTTCGGTAGGGAAGAGACGGTAAAAGGGAACCGACTCGTCAAACGTGACGTTCTGAGAGGACAAGACACAATGCGTGTTGGAGTGGTAAAACTCCCAGCCAGGCGCGTCAATGGGAAAACCAAGGAAGACACAGGGAATGGCGCGGGAGGAGAGCTTGTCCGCGAAGGTATCGCGGACAAAGGTACGAGCGCCCAAGACCCGGAACACTGACGCATCACCAACCTCCCCCCGTCCAACGTAGTGTGAGCGAGGTCTCCGGCAAGAAGGCACGGGGTCAGAGGTTGAGCTGATATGCAGCGTACGGCCACAGAAAATGGGGAGCAGCTGTGAGAGTACGACGGCGATACCAACCATGCATGCTTGCTTTTATCTTATTACGCTATTACTAGCTTAGGTTTATTTTATGCATGCATGAATTGCTTGATTTCCTAGGTTCGTTGCTTTACTATAGTTATTATAGTTATAGGCACCGAACCAGGTTACGTGTACCGAACTCAAGCTTATTCGGTTTCCACCGAAATGTTTTCTACCGAGTTCGGGAAGGTTCTGTTCGGGACGCTTCGCGACCCTCAGAACATTCACGTAACACCTGGGTTACCTGCCTTGTATCGAGCCTATATATAGCCTCGTGTTGTACCCAGGTGATCATTAAATTGACAATCATCTTTTCTGAGCTCGATCCTAGATCCTCACACTTGGTAATCAGAGCCCGTTTACACGCGAAAGTTTTTCGACCGCTAAAAACCGAGTCTTCAAAAACCGCGGGGGCGATGAAGTTAAACATTGATTTCGGGTACGTAAAACCGGTTCCGTGTTTTTCGCTCCTCCTCGTTTCGGTTTTTCGGACGCGCAATGTTAGGCATGGAGGCCAAGGCGACAACCACGAGCGACATCGCGAAAGACTGGAGAGACTTGAAACTTAGACATGGAGGCTCGGACTGGAAAGACTCCAAGCTTTGACATGGAGGCTCGGAATGGAAAGACTTCAAGCTTTGACATGGATGCTCGGACTGGAAAGACTTCAAGCTTTGACATGGAGGCTCGGACTGGAAAGACTTCAAGCTTTGACATGGAGGCTCGGACTGGAAAGACTTCAAGC